CTACTAGATCTACTATGAGCTAACTTATATTTATGCTCTCTAATTTCGGACTCATGAGCAAGTGGAAGTAGCCTATCTGCATCCATTTTATCTAGTCCTTTAACAATTTTAAAAACCTCTATCAGGAACCCTCTCAATCATCTGAACTCGAGAAAGAAAAGCTAAAGCCTGTGCAATTTTCCTTGACAGTTGTATCCACTCATGCCTGGTAACATCCTCGGAAATCCATACAGTGATGAAAGCTGAAGGTGGAGGAATGTGGATACTGTGTGGGTAGGTGCATATGTGGGTACTAATATGCCTGCCCATTTAGTACCCACATACTAATTCTGACTAGCCAAAGTGGTTTCACATGATACAGTGATTATTTTGAGAATTATTGAGTTTAGTTTGATTATCCCCAGAAGGAGTTGTGAATTAGTTCGGCTGGCAATATCGGTGGCCAACAAAATAGCTCTCCTTAATTGGAAGTGCAGGTCCATGTCTGAAACTAAAGCTCGGCAGGATTTGCAAATGAATGTGTTGGAAGAGGGAAAAAAGTGCCTTTAGGCATAAGGGTCAAATCAATCAGTACCAGGGTCCTTGAAATAGATCCAAGATTTCATGAAAAGGAATGTGCTAATAGATACTTGGTGACAGCCTTCTTGAGAAGATGAATTAATACACGTAAATAAAATAATAAATTAAATTAAAGATAACTTTTTGGGGAATTGGATAGATACTTGAAAAGACAAAAATTGCTAGGATATGGGGAAAGAGCAGGGGAATGGGATTAATTGGATAGCTCTTTCAAAGAGCCAGGACGTGAATGATGGGCCATATGGCCTCCTTCTATGCTGTAGGATTCTATGATTCTATGAAATAAAAGGTGGCAGGAATGTGGTTTTATGACTAATTAGAAGATTATACTGTACTCTATTCATGATCTATTGTAATTTCACCCCAACCAATCCTCAATTAAGAGGATGGTTAGAAGACATGATCCCAGGCTTCTGCCAAACGCTATTTGCAGAACATCCTGCAATTCATCACCCAATGATTCTTCCTTCCTTATTCAGAAGCTTCTGTGAGTCTCTGCTAGCATCTTCCCTGGTCACTTGACATAATGAGCCATGTAGCAAATCAAATCTGGAAACCACAACCTACCATGACATGAAATAGCAGAACCCCAGACTGCTCCAAACTGATATTGTTCACAAATCAAACTTTAAAAGATGTGTGTGCATCAAGTATTGAGTTGTATGGCCTCCATTTAGCAACAGGGCACCATGGACAATTGAAATAAAGAACTCACTGTATACAGACAAATGTCTCACAACTCCAGGATACAGGAAAATGAAGCACACCAGAGCGTGACCCTCAAGCAAGTCATCAGTTGGGTAATGTCTCTACAAAAGGTTAATGAGTTACACTGTTCCTGTATATCAGTTTCTTTGGCACCTAATTCAATTGTATCAGCCTAACTTAGATGGTAGCATTCTCGTCTCTCAGTCAGAAGTCATGGGTTCACGTCCCATGGGGAGCTTTGTACTTGTATAGTCTATCCTGACAATCCAATACAGTGCTGCAGGTTGGAGGTGCTATTCTTCAGATGAGGTATTAAATGGAAGTCCAATCTGCCTGTTCTGTTGAATATTAAAGATCCCATGGCACTGTTCACGTCAGAAGGTTGTGGGTTGAAGCCCCATGTCAGGACTTGGAACTCATATATTGTTACTCAAATGTAGTGCTGGGTGTTTGCTGCATTGTTAGAGGTACCTTCAGATGAGAGGTAAACAGCAACAACAAAATTACATTTGTATAGCGCCTTCATGTCGGGAGGACGTCCCAAGACGCTGGACAGACAGAGTTACGGACTCGAGCTGAGGGTCGGGGTGGGGGATGGGGGAGGTCAGGGGGGAAGCAGGGAGATCGAAAGCACGGTTGAAGAGGAGGGTCTTGAGGTGGGTCTTGAAAATGATGAGGGAGTAGGAGAGATGGAGGGACTGCGGGATGGAGTTCCAGAGGGTGGGTGCACAGTGGCAGAAGGCCTGCCCGCCGATAGTGGGGCGAGTAAGGTAGGGGACGTGAAACAGGCCGGAACCCACTGAGTGAAGTTGAATAGGGCAGTTGGGGTTCAGGACACCGCAGAGGTAGACGGAAGCAAGACCATGGAGGGCTTTGAAGGTGAGGACCAGGATTTTGAACTGTATCCTCTCTGAGTGATGGGAAGCCAGTGGAGTTGGGCAAGGATGGGGGTGATAGGGTCATGGAGCCTAGTGCGGGAGAGGACATGGGCTGCAGAGTTCTGGATGATCTGCAGCCTGTGGTGGGAGGAGTTGGGGAGGCCGACAAGCAGTGAGTTTGCATAGATGAGCCTCAATATATGAGGGTTTCGGTGGCCTGTGGTGTGAGACAGTGTCGGAGCTGGGTGACATTGCGCAGGTGGAGGAAGGCAGAGTGCGTCATGGGGCAAATGTGGGGTAGAAAGGATAGTTTAGGGTCAAACAAGACCCCAAGGTTCCGGACTTGCTTAGCAAGGTACAGTGTGCAACCATGGATGGTGATATTGTCAGTGCCTGAGGTGAGGAGGCGTTGACGGGAGTCAATCAGGAGAGCCTCGGTCTTGTTGACGTTCAACTGAAGAAAGTTAGCTCTCATCCAGGACTTAATCTCTGACAAACATTCTGTCAGAACAGCAGTGGTCCTGGAGTCGAGGGTGGAGGCAGAGAGGTAGAGTTGGATGTCATCCACATACAGCAACAACTTCAACAACAGCAAGATTACATTTGTATAGCGCTTTTCAAGTCGGGCAGACATCCCAAGGCGCTGGACAGAGTATAGCACTTCAGACCCGAGCTGGGGTTAGGTAGGGGAAAGGGAGGGAGGGGAAGGGGGGTGGCCGATGGCATGGTCGAAGAGGAGGGTCTTGAGGCGGGACTTGAAGGAGGCTAAGGAGGGGGCGAGGCGGAGTGACAGGGAGATGGAATTCCAGAAGTTGGGGGCAGAGTGGCTGAAGGCTCTCCCACCAATGGTGGGTCAGGGCATGTGGAGCAGGCCAGAGCCGGCTGAGCGGAGGGAACAGGCGGGTTGGTAGGGGGTTAGGAGGTCGCAGAGGTAGGTTAGGGCACGGCCATGGAGGGCTTTGTATATGAGGACCAGGATCTTGAACTGGATCCTCTGAAGGATAGGGAGCCAGTGGAGTCGGGCGAGAGTGGGGGAGATGGGGTCACGGAGTTTAGTGCGGGAGAGGACACAGACTTCAGAGTTCTGGATTATCTGCAGCCTGTGGAGGGAGGAGTTGGGAAGGCCGACAAGCAGGGCGTTTGCATAGTCGAGCCTGAGGGTGATGAAGACATGAACAAGAGTTTCAGCGGCCTGAGGGGTGAGGTAGTGGCGGAGTCGGGCAATGTTACGGTGAGGTTTACCCCATGTCTGTGGATGATGTCACCAAGAGGGAGCATATAGATATTGAAGAGGAGGGGACCAAAGACAGAGCCCTGAGGAATGCCGCACGAGATGGTGCTGGGGCTAGACGAGAAGCCGTTTGAGGAGATGAAGTGCAGGCGGTGTGTGAGGTACAATCTGAACCAATCAAGGAGCACCATGGTTGTTGAGGTGAGAGAGATGGTGGATGAGGATAGAGTGGTCGGCGGTGTCAAAAGCAGCAGAGAGGTCAAGGAAGACGAGGAGGTAGAGGGAGCCCTGATCGCAGATGGACAGAATGTCATTTGTCACTTTGACCAGGGCGGTTGCTGTGCTGTGGGTGACACGGAAACCCGATTGGAGGGGTTCGAGAAGGGAGTGGCGGGAAAGGAAGGAGCAAAGCTGAGAAGCAACAACTCGTTCCAGGACCTTGGAGAGGAAGGGGAGGTTGGAGATGGGTTGGCAGTTAGGGTGTAGAGAAGGGTTCAGGGAGGGTTTTTTAAGGATAGGAATGATGACAGCAGTTTTTAAAGGGGTGGGAACAGAACCAGAGGACAGAGAGAGGTTAACCATGTCAGTGAGCAGAGGGGCAAGGAGATGGAGTTGGGAGGTAAGGAGTGGGGTGGGAGCAGGTGGTGGGTTTCATGTGCGTTATGATGGTGATGAGAGAGGAGGGGGAGACAGGTTCAAAGGTGTGGAAGTTAGGAGTGGGTAGGGGTCGGGGTCGGAGGAGGAGATGGGAAGTGGGTAGCAGTTGCAGTGCCAGAGGCAGCTGAGCAGACTCCCTTGACTTTGGATTCGAGGAAGTCTAGCATCGCCTCACAGTTGGCATTTGAGGTGCGGATGGGTGTCCTTAGCCTCCAAGACTGTCTTGGAGTAGAGTAACGATTTAGCGAAGGTGAGGGCGAGCAGAGGATTTGACATGGTCCAGTCAAATCTGTCGGTGGACAGTTAGGTTTGATTTAAGCCAGGTGCGCTCAGCAGAACGCGCCTGGGCTTTAAGGGAATGTAGATAGCTGGTATACCAAGGTGATTTGCGTGAGTAGGAGACAGTTCAGGAAGAGCGGAGAACGAGGGAATCGAGAGTGGAGGAGAGGGAGCTGTGGATAAGGATGACCGAGGAGGATAGGTCATTGTGGGAGGACGCCCAAAGGTAAAACCAAGGTCCCATCTGTCTATTCAGGTGGATGTTAAAGATCTCATGGCACTATTTGAAAAGAGATGACCAACAATCCTGGCCAACAAATAAAATTGCTCATTCATTTCATGGCTGTTTATGGGACATTACTCTGTGCGAATTGGTTGCCTGTTTGCCTACAAAATACAGTCACTGCACTTTACAGTAAATCCTGTAAAGTGCTTTGAGATGTTAACCAGAAGTGATGGGTGTTATATCCTACATAAGAATTATTATTATTTTGAATAATCGAAATGTTTTGACTCCTCAAATATGAGCCTATCTTTTGTGATGTTAAGTCCTATGAAAACATGTAAAAAGTACAATTTGCTCTCTGACTTCATGTTATTGGACACCACATTATTTGTCACAAATGCACTTTTTAATGTTAGTCAACAACCAGCATCATTTCAGTCTATACAAAAGTAGCCGAATCCCAACATATTACATTTAATCTCTCCATGTAACTTGAGTGAGAGTAAAATATATTATGTATTCTGAAAGAACGAAACTCAGAGAGCTTTAAGGCCTTTTAATGATTGACCTATATAGCATCAGGTATTCAATCAGTTACATTGATTACAATCCCTTCAAAGGCTATTTTTAGATAATCGATCAATTGATAGTTTATCATTTAAAGCAATGCATTCCAGAGCTAGCTTATGTTAGGCGTTGCATTGGAACAAAGGCAAAATCACATTCTTCAATCATTTAGAAGTCAGGACGGTCCTTCTCAAGCTTGGTGTAATCTGCGTTGACTGCTACAAACTGTCAATGTAAGAATAAATCATTAATCAATAATTCTACAGTTCTTTTGCTATGTTATGATTAGTACATCATGAATTTTAGAGGATGCTTCCAAAGATATCAGTCTTGACTCAGCCAGTAGCACTCTTGCCTTTGAGTCAGAGAGTTGTGAGTTCAAGGCCCTATTGCGGGACATTGAACTCACGGTTGTATTGTCAGAGGTACCATTCTTTGGATAAGATGCTAAACTAATGTCCCATACAGGTGGAAGCTAAAAATCCCATGGCACTGTTTAAAGAAGGAAGGGAATTTAATAATAATAATCCTTGCATTTGATATAGCACCATAGCATCTTCAAGACATCTCAAAGCGCTTCACAGAATATACTATAAAGTGAATTGACTGTATATTTTGTGGATGAAACGTGCCAGCCAATTGCGCACAGCAGTGTCCCACAAACAGTCGTGGAGTGAGTGACCAAATTATTATTTCTTTTCAAGGAGAGTGGAAAAGGTTAAAGAGAGGGGAAGAAGAGAGAAGGATGGAAGAAATAAATCAAAAAATGTTTGAAAGTGAGACCAACAGTTAAATGGATTGCTGCGAATTCTCATTATCTTTTATTATCTATTACTTATCTATACTTGTCTAGGGTATGTTTTGTGGCTCTCTCTCTCACCCTCACCTGCAACTCTGACCGTCCCACACCACTGATTCACCCGGTGTCCTGGACAACAATCTCCTAGATAAAATTAGTTATTCACTTCAGTCACTACACTTTACATTATATTCTGTGAAACACTTTGAGATGTCTCAAAGACGTGATAAGGCACTATATCAAATCCAAAGAATGTTATTATTACTGTAAATAAAGACAATGTCACATTCAACACTCATTCAGGACAGTCTCAATGCGTGCCCATAAAATGTATTCTGCAAAACACTGTGAGGTGTCCACCTGACATGAAAGGAGTAATATTAAATTATGTCAAATGTAAGGGTTATTTATTATTTATTTAAGATACCTTATATTGATCTTTAGGGCCAAGTCTGTTCCATGGTTCAGGGTTATTCTTTTTGTCCCAGCTGTCAAGAAAAAAGGGAAAGATGTACAAGATTGAAGATGCCTGAGTGAACAAACACAATATACTACACTAAGATTGGGATAATATTATGTTATTTCCCTACCTGACATCAGGGCTGAACATTGCCAAACGCATAACGTAAAAGCTTGCACCAAAAGCTCCAGATCCAATGAAAAGAAGCAGAGGAATCAACTGAAACCACAACAAAAAATTGCAGCATTATATAGTGCATTTACTTATTTAAAAATACATCTGCATCAATCAACACCATTGGTGGTATTTAACAATACTAACAGACGCCATCAGTAACCTTCAAAATGAAAACATTTATAACATTTTTCTTTTTAGCTGGTATCCACTGAGCATCACAGCTGAGTCCATTTCGATCTCCATACAAACGTCCTCCCTCTCCCAGCAACGATTGCTGATAATGATCAGAGCATGAACTCTAACTAATTTTCCCTTCTCTAACCCAGGGTTGTGCAACACATTAGTCACCAGTCACATGTGGCATATTGGCAATCCAGATGTTGCTAAATTGCAATTTGGATTAGTAAATACAAATGAGTAATAGACAATGTTGTTGCGCATCCATCTAAATATTCATATTCGCATGGTGGATTCATGTGTGCCTTCACCTTTTTGTGCATTTGTTGGTAAAATGGTAAGAGGAAAAGCAGTGTGTGTGAGAGTGTTTTTTTGATTGTTGTGTGTGCTTTACTTCATTGGTTATTGATTATCTGCTAAAATGGTGTGTAACGTGGGTGAAAACACTGGATTTCAGCACCATGGAAACATCAGCAATAGTGTATGGAGAGGGGAGCTGTCAATCATAGTCAGCTCGACTAATCGGAATAAACTCTCCTGGCCAGCAGAATAAAAGCAAGCTCCAACAGGGCACATCATGGCAAAGGAGCATCCAACTGGATGGAGAGCGGGGCGGGGAGTGAGTCTGGTATGTCTTGTGAAAGAAGAATGAAGACGCAATGAAGCCACATTAAGGTGTGCTGTGTCTGATAAACTCATGTCAGAATTCCAAACTTTAGTGAAAGAGAAGGACTGCAATGGTTCACACAAAATGGTGGTCGATGTTTGTTATATAAATATATACTTAAACATACATGTGAAGTATTGTACTGTATACATCTCTAATCAAGTAAAATTTGTGCATGTGGCTAAGATGGTGTTGCGATAGCCACGCCTGTGGCTAGTCAGTGATTTCTACTGGGCAACATTGCACATTGGGGTCAACTGTAATACTCCTGCTGTTGCCCCATTGAGATCAGCTAACAAAGCACAAACTCAAACCACAGTACTGAATAAATTCATCAAGCCATCAGAGGAGCTAATAATCATTATTTACTCGAACAATATGCTATCTCGCCTTGTCACAGACATAGCCCCCACCCTTCGCAGGCTGCTTTGCACAGAGAGAGATATGGAGAACTTCTGGGCAGCCTTCCACAGTCTGATTGTTTCTCAGCCTTGAGATAGGCAGGTGTCTGAGGCTGCAGCCTTTTCTTTCTGTGGTGCATTGTCCTTACATCTGTGCTCAAGGACCCGATTGCTCATTATCTCAGAGGAGTGAACATCTTCCCAGAAAAATATGAAATATAATCAGAAGCTAACCTCAGCCCGTCCAGCAAAGCTACTTTTAACTCCTGCTAAGCTAGTCATTAAATCAAACCTCTTTAAAGGACTTGGGTAGGTTATATTCTAAAGGTATATAAAGAGTAATTACAAGGCTTAAAAAACATTAAGCATTACAAATATAATCTTACAGTCACCATTTTGAGAGTGAGAAAATATGATTTTTGATCTCTCCTTTATCTATGATTTATTAAGCTAGCTAACTGTAAATGGTCAGATTGCACCTGGATAGCCCTTAATAGGGAACGTAAATAATATAAAGACACAATTAATGTAAATAAAATTATGGTTTGGGCAATCACAAAAGCATAAGACATAAGTAATAAAATTCAGTGCAATAAATTAATCAGATTGGTACAGCAACTGTGATTACGAATTGACTTGTTAACGTGGTTTGATCAAAGTTGATTGTAGAATATCTCAAAATCGGTTAGACTGGTCTTCTTCCTTCCCAAACTGAGACCTTTTTAGTCACGTACGACAAGTCTGCAGTGAGATATTCAACAGCTTGTTTTTACTATTCATTGTAGGGTTAAAAACATATCCTTTAAGGTCGGTACATTCCTTTTGTTCTTGGCAGTTTAAGTGCACTGATGTTACCAATGTCTTTGTGATGCATAGAATCAGTTCTAGTTCAGCAAAACAAGTTTGTGAGTCTTTTAATTAAAAGCCTTAAAAAACATTAACCATTATAAATATAATCTTACAATTTCAAAATCCAACATTGGGGCTTCAATCCACAAACATCTGACTCAGAAATGAAAATTCTAGCAACTGAGCTAGGATGACACACAATGACACACGACAAATAACAATGACACACATCTCTATTATATTTCTATATTAGAAATGTTTGATGAAAATTTTCAGCCACTATGTTATCCTATTATGCTAGGAAGTAATATAAACCAACACATTAATAAAATCCCATAATAAATAAGTATGAAATTTTAACAATTTTACATTTATATAATAATAATGATAACCCTTGCGTTTGGTAAACCGCCTTTCACGTCAAGAGGATTTCCCAAGCGTTTTGATATAAAACAGAATTTAGTCACATTGAATAACGTCAAGCCTCCTCTTAAATATCTTGGGAAACGTGAAAATGAAGAATAGGACAATATTGTTGTCAGATTCAGAATTGATTGAAGACATTTTTAGCAGATACAGTTAAAAGAAATTGAATGAGTAACTGATCAAATGTGTAATCTCCAATGAGTGACCTAACCAATTAACTCACACGTATGTCATAGTGAATTATATCTACTGGAAGGCAAAAAATAGTCAATCCATCCTTTGCTATTCTGTTTTTCATATAATTGAATTATTTTAAATTTATTTTGTTTTAATAATTTTAAGGTATACTATTGGGACCACAGATGGCAGTTTAAACATTCCCATTAGATCACGTGAATTTTCCCCACATCGCCACAGTAACAACGACCACATTGATAAATTCCCATGATAAATAAGTATGAAATTTTAACAATTTTACATTTATATAATAAGAAGAATCATTGCATTTGGTAAACCAACTTCACATCAACGGAATGTCTCAAAACGCTTCGCAGAATTTATTATGAAATGGATGAATTTGCAGGCAAACACAGCAGCCCAATTTCATACAGCAATGTTCAACAAACAGCCATGTCTGTGAGACATCAAGCCCTAGTGGAGCCTCAATTTTAGCTCCACATGGACAAGACAAAAGCTATCCTCATCAGCTCCTGCCAATGTCTCATCACTTCTGGCTCTGACCTCCTCAACGACTCCGACCTCTCTCTCACACTCACTGAATTAATACAATGAGTACAATTTACATTTATATAGCGCCTTTCCCATGGTGAGGTCTCCAAGTGTTTAAAGTGTGCAATCTTGGTGATCCTCAGTTCTTTTTCCACCTGGACCTCTACACCCTGCTTCTCCCTCTGCTTAGCAAACACAGCCTTCAACTCTCTCCACCCTCAATTCGAATGACCAATTTTATTTGGGAGATTGTTGGCCACAACAAGAGAAGCAACTCCCTTCTCTCTTCCAGTAGTGCTAGGGGATCTTTAACATCCACCTGAAGTTTAACATTCTAACCAAAGGATAACAACTCCACCCACGCCCACCGACACACACACAAACACTCTATTAGAAAGTCATCTTAATCTACGTGAGTTTGAGTCCCGAAGTGGAACTTGAACGCATAACATTCTGATTAAAAGATGAAAGTGCAACCAAATAAAATACACTATTGCACCTTATACACTGTAGCACCTTTCACATCAGGATGAAGTCTGAAAACCCCTCACAGAGAAGATCAGCTACACGAATTGAGGGTGGAGAGAGTTGAAGGCTGTGTTTGCTAAGCAGAGGGAGAAGCAGGGTGTAGAGGTCCAGGTGGAAAAAGAACTGAGGATCACCAAGATTGCACACTTTAAACACTTGGAGACCTCACCATGGGAAAGGCGCTATATAAATGTAAATTGTACTCATTGTATTAATTCAGTGAGTGTGAGAGAGAGGTCGGAGTCGTTGAGGAGGTCAGAGCCAGAAGTGATGAGACATTGGCAGGAGCTGATGAGGATAGCTTTTGTCTTGTCCATGTGGAGCTAAAATTGAGGCTCCACTAGGGCTTGATGTCTCACAGACAGGTGGACAGAACATCAGAAGACCTGAAATTAAGGGTAGAGTGGATAAATAAATCTGGGTGTCATCTATATACATGTGGATGGATGATATCACTAAAAAGGGAGCATGTAGATAAGGAAAAGGAAGGCACTGTGGATAGATCCCTGAGGTACTACACAAGTGAACATAGACAGGAGGAGAAAGTATTGTAGTAGACAAAGTGGAGTTAGTGGGTTATTTAGGATTAGGACAATGCAGTTCCATAGAGGTGGATAATAATAATAATAATAATAATAATAATCCTTGCATTTGATATAGGACCTTATAACATCTTCGAAACGTCTCAAAGTTCTTCACAGAATATACTGTGAAGTGAATTTGAGTGTATTTTGTGGGCAAAACGTGGCAGCCAATTACACACAGCAGTGTCCCACAAATAGCCATGTATTGAGTGGTTGTTTATGGAATACTGCCACAATAATAATGTTTTTATTATTTTTTTGAAGGGATTATTACCCCTGGAAAAGCGATCTGCCAATCGACTAACAACTGAGAGAAAAAAGACGATCGAGCACTATTGAGTGGTCAACAGTATGAAAAGCAGCAGAGAGGTTGAGTAGAATAAGAAGGCAGAGAGAGCCCTGGTCACAGAAAAAGAGTACATCATTGCTGACTTTGATAAGGGTTGTCTCAAAGCTGTGGGTGGGCAGAAGCTGGGCTGGAGAGCATTGGTCAGGGAGTAGAGGGAAAGAAGGTGGGAGCAAAGTTGAATGACAATTATACATTGCAGACCAAGATGGAGATAGGTCAGTATTTGGAGTTTGGAGGGAAAGGTAGATTTTTGAGAAAGTGGGTAATGATGGCGGTGTTGATGGGGAGGGGACAATGCTGGAAGAGAGGGAGAGATTGACTATGTCCTCCAG